GCCCACCCAGACCAGTAGCAGAACTGGGATGAGGCCTTGTTTCGTACTTCATGGTTCACCACGTAACTCCAGCCTAAACAATATGAACACAGAGAGTCCTGCTCAAAGGTAAGGAACAAGCAAATATTGAGGCATCATAAAAATTTAGTTTTAGCCAGGACAGCAAGTTACCTGTGAACATGCAGATTTAAAAACCCCAAACAAAACCTCTCAGAATGCAGTTTCCAGCAAATCCACCTAAAAAGTATTCAAAGGCTACCTGAAAACAGCTGTCCAAACACCACCCAAAGTAAGAGCAGAAGACAGATATTACCATGATTCATCTTTATAAGAAGATTTTTGTTACTCTAATATTGCATTTCTTTTCACCTAAGGGAAAAAGCAATCAGCTTTTTTAAAAGCATTGGCTCAGATTACTCTCTGGTTATCTTACCACAGATAGGGAGAAGCCAAGGCACAATAGCAACAACGTGAGAAACAGCGAGTTGTGATACAACCATCTGAAAACCAGCAGGCTATGAAAACCAACTGAAGATGGTTTTCAAGTCACAGTAATTTAAGAACATACTGCCATCTTGCCACAAACGAACTGGTGTTAATTTCACTCATAACAATCAGCCTTCAATTCTGTGCCACTTGAAAACAATTCACAAACTCAAAACACCATGTGAAATCCTCATGGCCCAACAGATCTGGCTGCAGACAGGACACCCAGCCACAGCCCCGCGCGCTGCAGGCACGCCCTCGGCCACGCAGAAGGACGCAGCAAATTTTTGACTCCACAACCTTCAACTTGCTCCGCAGTCTGCACATACACCACGTTACCCAGCAAGTGAAAGAGCATCAGCCACAAAGTTCTCCACAGCCACCCATGCCAGGAACGACCGACAGCCTCATAACCACCTGGTGGGAAAGGCAGAGGAGGGAAAAGGAGCACAACAGGATGATTACGGGTATCCCTGGCTGTTGCACGTCATCATATCACAATAAACTGCTGATTTATCTTCCCAGGAGGCAGGGCAGCACTGTGATCTCTGTGTTAGAGCAGATGAGACAGTTCCACGTGCTGTGACTTGCTGCAAACCACAAAGGAGATCTTTCTTTGCCAGCAACGTGAATTGAACTCAAGGCTTGCTACATGCTCCAGTGCTTCTCCCTCCAGGCTAAGCGCCTCTGAAGCTGAGAGTGAAACTAAAAATAAAAAAATTAAAATATTTTTAGTAGTAATAAAATTATTTTAGTCTAGGATGTGCTTTGCCCCGAACTGTAGGTAGGCAGGCAGCAATCAACACTGGTGGCTGCACACTCCAGCTGTCAGGCCCTACAGGAGAAACACCAGGCACTGCATCATCAAGCAAAGCCAAGTGTAAATTAATGGGGAAAAGAGACGATTTTAAGATGAACTGTAAAGCTTTTCCTCCTCCAAGCAGGGCTGTTGCAATTGTTTTCAGTGGAGGGTAGACAACACGCCAAAGTGCTCTGTTACTCTGCTGATAACTTAACCATCTCTAGAAAAATCAGACTGATAATTGACAAATAATATTTACTTTGTCAAGAGGTGCTTTTTGCATCCTTACTATACTGAGAAACACTTCAAAAGAACAACCTTAACTGTAGATACAAGAGATTTCCTCATTTTAAAAATATTCCTGTCCTGAAATTAGTATCGTATAGTTTTGTTATGTTTGGGGTTGGTTTGTTTGTTGATCCGCCCCCGCCCCGAGGTTTGTCCTCTTCTTCAAGAAGATGCTGTGGAGGGCGGCCAAAACAGAAATTGTTTATGATTGTGCTCCTTGGATGATGCTCACTGGAGACCACAGGACATTTTCCATCAGCTGTAATGAGCAGTGATGTCACTGAAGTAACTTACAATGAAAAACAGAAATAACACATTTACCTGCTCCAAAAAGACCTGCACTGGCAGTATGCTGTGTAGCACCTGTAATATGCAACACACAGCGCTAGTTGCCCTCCCCCGCAATAAACTAAACAATTTGCTTTGTCACAAAGGACGTGGAGCTGTGAAGTTAAGTGGCAGCAAGGCTGCATCACACTCCCACATTAACTGCTACACTCAAGCATGAAAATACAGATGGGACAGAGCTGGCAATCACTCCGCAATACGGACAGTCACTTTGCCAAGGTACCCACGTGAATCCCGCGTCTTTTTGGCAACTCTGTTCTGAAAGGGGACGGGTCTCCTGCAGCGATGGGCCAGTACGTATTTCACAGTAAAACATGAGTGTGCACACAAATCGTGACACACGTCACACTGCACATCACAGACTGTAGCCACGCGTTCGATACTCTGCCCCCCGTTTGATGCTCAGAGCGCGCGGCTGAAGATCACACGGGGCTGCCCTGAGACTGGGCTACGCAGGAAGCAGGCGGCTGAAATACCTGATGTTCTGACACTGCAAAAGGCCTGTAATAGGAATTGTGAGAGGCAAAGGTCACCTAGTTCCCTGCATCTGACAGCCCTGCAGTGTCAGACTGCCCA